AGGAGCCCTGGAGCCCACTGACACTGAGTCTGCAGCAAAGTGGTCTCAGGCACTGCCCACCAGTGGCTTCAGGTGTGGCTCTCACAGCCATGGTCTCAGAAGTAATGGAAGTCAGCTGGGGATTTCTGGGCCTGGGACAGGAACTGCACCGGAGGGGACCTTGCTGGCTCCTGTTCCCACCATGCCCACACCCCTCAGTGTCTCTGGTGATCTCAACAGCTGGGTGGGCATGGGGAGAGGAGGGTGACAATTCATGGTGCTTCCTACCCCACCCTGTGCCCTTCCTTCTCTGCTGCCCACCACAGCTGGCCGGCCAGATAAGCCAAAGAAAGGTGCTCACGCTTTCCCTACTTCCCTCACCTCCAGATGGCTCTAGTTCTAGTTCTGTCTCAAAAACCCGTCCCTCTGCTGGCTGCAGTGAAATCTTGTCTAGACTCATTGAAGCAAAGTGCTTGTGATTAATTAGCAATGTCTCCCACGAGGGCAGCAATGGAGAGTGTGGGTGGGTGTGATTTAAACTGCTGCCCACGACCTCAGCACCTGTTACTCTCCATCAGCCTGAGCTGCAAAAGTCTGGGGCTGTCTTGTGGCTGAGAGATGTCATCATAAGCCAGATCTAAGTTGTGATATGCTGGCAAATGTGTAACAACCAGCGCTCTCTCTCAAGTTAGGAAAAGATGGGCACAGTTGGCGCCTGCAAGACCGTACCCATTTGTCACCACTCCAAGTTTTGCTAATGGAGAGGGGCTGCCCTGGAAACAGCCACGAACCGTTGGCACATTACATCCTTCCCTAGCCTCCATCTCCTCATCCACAAAATGGGCCTTGGCTGTGTTGCGCAGTGATATGAGGACATGTTTTTCACTCACAAAGTGTGAGTTCTCACCCTTGCTCCCAGCGCATGAAATCCAAATCACTGCTCTGCCCCAGCAATTGGCCTGGCAACCACAGTTTGGGTCCCAGGGCTGCAAGAGAAAAGGCCTGGTTGTACCTCTTGATGTTGACCTCACAGGCCAGACACTGTCTCAAAGTTCACGCAGCTTCCCTGCCTTTGGCAGCTGCCAATGACAACCTTTGTGAAGTTTTTCAGGCTCCCTTTCACTGCTGCTGTCTGAGGCCAAGGCCACTACTCCTCTGATGTCCACTATGATGCCTCCTCTGGCTTTGGGGTCGTGGTCCTGGGGGACAACCTGCATCTGTACTGTAGCAGCCCCAGGTCTGGATTTGAGCATCAGCCCAGGCATCCGTTAGCTCCTTGGCCTTGCACTCTCTGGGCCTCGGTCTTTTCCTCTGTAGAATGGGAATAATAATCATAGCAGCTACTCCTCCGGATTCTTAGGTAGTCTGAATGGTGTAGGTGCTTAAAGTTCCTTGCACAATGTCAGACACAGAGCAAAGACTCAAAATGTAAATTATGATTGGTCCTAACAAATTCTGGATTGGAGGCAGAACAGCCAAACTGTAAATGAATGGGATCCCAAATGTTGACCAATCCTAGCTCAAGTCAGGGCCTCAACAGAGGAGGGTAGGCAGGGCCTGTAGTGTCCCCTTGGTCCAGCGCACGGTTTCTCACCCTCAGTACTGTTGTTGACATTCGGTGCCAGATGCTTTGTTATGGGGGCTCTGTGCATTGTCTATTTAGCAGCATTCCTAGACTGTACCCACTACAGACCTGGAGCAGCCTCCCAGTTGTAACTATCAAGAACGTCTCTAGACTTCATCAATGGTCCCCTAGATGAGAACCCTTGTTCCATGGGAGGAAGTGACTCATCCTATCAGTCACCCATGGTCCAAGGAGAGTCCAGGAGCAGAGCATCTGCTCTGTGATTTGGACACAGGACAACCAAGTGGCAGGTGGTCTGCTGTGGGCTGCCTGGCAGCAGCCCCAGGAAGCATGTGGGTCAGAGCTTGGACCCCAGCTGCTGGGAGCCAGCAGTCAAGCAGGGCCAGAATGCAGCTCGCATGACCTTCAGCCCGGAGCTTGCTGTGACTCTATTCCCCTGCCTAGGACCAGGACTGGATCCAGGGACTGAGAAGGACCAGGCAGGCAGCCTCTTCCACCTTTGAGGATCTTCATGACCCTAGCCTGGAGAGCACAGGCTTCGAGGAAGAGACCAGTTCAAATCTAGGCTCTGCCATATGGAAATTGAGCCTAAAAAATACATTTTTAAAAATTTCTCAGAGTGGGTATTTCTCAAACCAACACAGTGGCACATGTCTGCAATCCCAGCACTCTGGTAGACTGAGGCAGGAAGATCACAAGTTTGAGCCTGGCCTAGGAAACTTAGTGACTTAGCAAGACCTTGTCTCAAAATTAAAAAAAAAAAAAAGAAATTAAAAGACCTGGGGATGTAACTCAGTGTGAAGGCCCTAGGTACAATCCCCAGTGCAGCAAAAATAATATAGCATAAAAACTTTTTTTAAAAAGTGCTGCCTTAGGCAGGGTGTTTACGCTCTAAGGCTCAGACTCCCCATCCATGAAATGGGGCCAATTTCACAAAGTTGTTGTAAGGGTTAATGTAGTATTAATGATACCTTACTTAGTACTAAACTTGCCACATAATAAGCACTCAGTAAACGTTGAATGAATGGATGAATGAATGCTCTTACAACAAATATTTCTCTCCAAATCCTACTCAGTTCAGTTCTCCAGAAATTCTCCACCTTTCTCACCAGGGCTTAATAGATAATGGGTGCTTCCAAAATTAAGTTTTCTTTCCTCAAAGGGCAACGACTAGCATCATTCATCTTTCTATAGCCCATAGCCCAGCACAGCAACTGACACACAGTAGGCGTTCCTTAAATGTTTGTTGAATGAATGAACAAACACACAAAAAAGACATTGAAGAAAGGTACATCCAGAGAATGCTGGCTGCCTCAGGATTCTTCATAGGGTCCTTTCCTGCATGGCCATTTAGGAGGTGCACAGCTGTCTTGCTCAGAGGAGGTGGATAACACCCTGGGGTGGTGGGACAGCAGAAAACTGGGGGATGACAGATACGATCAAGAAGGTCCCACACTGGGCAGCTTCTGTAGACCTTTCCCTGGCCCTTAGCCCTCCCTGGTGCCTGGGGCAATTTTCCTCTCTCCCTGCTCCTGGAAAAGGCTGCTCCTGAGGCCACTGCAGGCCCAGATGAGAGGTTTTGAGGACAGACACAGTGACAGGACACAACAGGCATCCAAGCAGAGGTCCGGAGCACAAGGTCTAAAGGCAGTTTTGGGGTGGGCTGTGTGGCTCTTTGAGTGACAGGCGTAGCGGTTGCACTGCAGCGATGGGGTCAGGAGCTCTGCCATTTACCAACTACTTGGCCCTGTCAGAGTCACTCAAGCTTTCCCTGCCTCAATTTCCTCATCCACAAGGTAGGGACATTAGAACCAACGTCATAATGGAAAACACTTAGAATTGCGTGTGGCACATAGTAAGGACTTAGTGGAAAGTACAGTGACAATGGTGGTGATGTGAAACCCATGGAAGTCTGCAGGAGAATGCATATCCCCCAGGGTGGCCCCAGAAAACCGCTCTCCTGTGGGGCCTGCCTAAGTCCTATGTCTGCTACCTGTGCAGCTGAGACTGCTGTCCGCAGCAGAACCACCTTCAGGGCCCTGGCCTGTGTCACGGGTCTTCCCAAAGCATCTGCCCTCCAGGTGGCTGAACCATCTCAAATCACCACAGTCTGAACCTCGTCATGAGCCTCCTTCTCGTGTCTAGGAGGATGTGTCCCCTGCCAGGAGGCTTGGCTTTCCGGCTGGGCTGGCCCTGCTGGCAGACTGGCCTTGGGGGACAGTTGCAGGTTCTGAGTGACATTCCCCTGCCCCTCAGCCTGATCGGTCCCAGATGCTCCCCTGTCCATCCCCAGCCCTTCTGGAACCCGGGGCACTCATCTACCCAACAACCTGGGGTTTCCCAGCCTGCACCACACCTCTTGGCTTTCTCTTGTTTTTAATTCCAAACTCTTTGTTCTGCTGTCACGTGACAGCTTTCAAGAGGCCAGCATGAGATAGGCTGTTTCCTCCTGCAGGACAGGGATGAGGGCAGATGCAGGAGAAGAGGAGGAAGCCAGCTCGGGAATGTGAGGAGCAATGGGAACATTAAACGTCTCTGCTGGCCAAGTTCAGGAGTGGCTCCTGGACTGACACAGCCAGCTCACTAGGGGCTGGGCAGCCGCACAAGCCCTGCTGGGAACCTCAGAGGTCCTGGGAGTCCGTGCTCCTGTCCCGCAGAAATGCCGCTGGTTCCCTATCTTCCTGCTGCTCCTTCCTCCAGCACCCCAGGCCCTCTCCCCTTGCTCCTCCCTGGAACACTTGAGTTTGTCTTTCTTGGCCCTTGCCAGTAATGAGATAGGGCTGCCGCCCGAGGGCCACTGGCCATAGGAAGGAAAGTGAGCACAGGAGGGAGGGAAGAGAGAGGCCTACAGAAAGGGGTAGGCCCGAGGCCGAGTGGTAGGCGTTGAGAAAGCAGCAGTGGGCGGCAGACCCAGGAGGGCAAGATGCCTGAGTCACCGCTTAACAGAAACCAGGGCAGGCGATAGACATCAGATGGGGCCGCAGGAGAAGCCTCCCCCACCCTGCTCCTTCCTGCTTGTTTTCCATTGCGTATCCTGGGAAACTTGTGCAGACAGCAGGCAGACTGACAGCCCTGGTCTCCTTGGGTTGTCATTTGGACCTCTCCAGTGTGCTTTGATGCCCTGGGCCATACAGCATAGAACATGAGTTTGGGCAAGACCCCGAGAGCCCATTTTGTGGGGTGTGAAACCTGGGCCTGGGGACTACAGTCAGGAACCCTTCAGGGCCCAGACAGAGTGGGGTTTTCATCAATAATGGAAATATGGCAATGAAGTAAAGGGAGAAGAGATTAGATTAGTGAAAGTGAGCTAGGAAAACATCAACGATGGAAACTCCCCCTCCCAGAGGCTCTTGGACACTGCTTTTACGGTGGCCTCCCCACTGCCCCATGCTGATGGCAGCAATACTGACCCAGGCATTTTCTCTCTCTCTTGCAGGACCTCCTGTAAGTATCAGGATGGAGCAGTCGTGTGTGTCTGAAAGGCCCGTGTCAAAGGCCCGTGTCATCTACTGGTAAAGGGTGCTGGGAGGCTGCTGACAGCAGCCCCTTACTGTCTCCAGGGGCCCTGTGTAGACTGCTTCTTTGTCCACACAGGGAAGGAGGCCACTATTCTGTCTACCTACACCTCTGCAAGGAAAGACAATGACTGTCCCACGGCAGAGCAGGCCCTAACTTCATTCTTCAGGGCTGGTTCACCCCTGGTTAGGCCAGCTCCTCTGTCCCCCAGACAAGCATCTGAAGTTGAGAAAGCAGCAAGTACTAGAAAGAGGAAAGATTCTGCCAAAAATTCTTTCCCACTCCATCCTGCTCCTTAAAACATTCCTCTCCATTCAGAAAGCCAGTCAGGGAGCAGCCCTAGTACAGACAGCCCAGGAGTCCATGATGTCCACACCTCAGAGCAGGCAGCTCCATCCTGGCCAAGTCACTTGGGGCAGGTAGAGCTGGAGGTGCCAGTTGTGTACAAGAGCAGTGTCAGCTGGTTAGGCTGGGAGGTGACACATAAGCTAGGCAGCATGTCACCTCCTTCCTGGGCCTCGCTCCCAGGGTAGGCAGGGAGCCGAGCCATTTCCAAAGCACCCGAGACAAGCCCAAGGAGAAGCCTCCCCCCCAGTAATGGATCCAGAGAGCAGGGCACGTGCGCTCCGAGGGACAGCATTTGATACCCCAACAAAAGACCAGAGGGCGCTCGGGGAGCCCTCGATCAGATCGTTCTCAAGGTTACTGAAATCCACCCCATCATTGTCCTACTCTCTGAGGAGTCGTTTCCATCTGTGAGAGCCGCACACCTGACTTCTAGTGAGACCATTATTTGTATTCCATCAGCGCCCCCAAACACACTCAGACCCACTCTGGACCCTGCTAAGCCCTCTGTCTGCTAGGTCACAGCAAAGGAGGAAAAACCCGTTGCTCCTTGAAAAGAGGAGGGCTCGGGACAGTTTGGAGTTGTCAGATGGCTATTCCTGTCATCCATCCTCCCAAATAAACTGCCACAGGGACCCGACAGGTCACCTGCTAGATGTGGGCCACGTGTGTCCCTCCTCCACACACCCTGCCCAAGGGCAGCTTGGCAGTACCAGCTCAGAGCCCCTGCCTAACTTGAGGGTCCTTCCTCAACAGGAGCTTAGCATCTTGAGAGCATGTGCCAGCATGACCCGGAAGCTGTTCCCAGGGGTCTCCTGAGAGCATGTGCCTGCCTGACCCGGAAGCTGTTCCCAGGGGTCTCCTGAGAGCATGTGCCAGCCTGACCCGGAAGCTGTTCCCAGGGGTCTGTAGTACAGAAGCAAATGAGAGAAGGGGAGACAAGAATCTCTGCTCCTGATCTCCACCCACCTAGCCATCACCTGAGCCATGGAGCAAGGAGCGGGGTCCCAGGTAGCTTTCCCCACATTCGAGGCTGATACAGAAGAGGAGCCCCGAATCTCTGCCTAGCACTAGCAGAAGGAGACTGAAAGGCAGGAAGAGCAAGGGGCAGGAAGCTGGCCAGGGTGGAATCACCTCCACAGCCCCGTTCGCTCCACTTCCTGCCAAAGAAGGATGCCTGGTGGTCTGAGGAGGGGCCAGCCGGATGCCTGTCTGCTGCCCTCAGGGACTGAGTTGTTCCTCCCACCAGAAGACCCAAGTTCCTGTGGGCACAAGGTCGGAACGCACCATGGAAAATGGGTGGTTGTTGCTCTGGGAACCACTGAAGGGGTTGCAGATTTGGGGCCACCGCTGACCCATCCCTTGTGTGCATGACGGGCATTGCTGATCAGCTGGAAGGGTTTTTAACATGACCTGTTAGTCAGTCTCTCCCAGTCAATCGGAGATGATGCTCCAGCTGGCATCTGCCACCAACCCTGGGTCAGATTTGTGGGGACTTTCTTAATGCTGGGAGCTGTGACCTTGAAGCAGATGACCAAGGGAGATAGGGGCATCTCCTCCTCTGGAGGAAAATCAGGAAATATTTCATGTCGGCTGCCAGGGTGGCTGTATGTGACCCTGCTGAACCAAAAGCTGACACTGACAGGTCTCCATGAGGAAGGATGCCAGAGTCCGAGCGCTGCCACTGCTAGCTGTGTGACTCAGCCAATTGTTTATCCTTTCTGTGCCTCAGTTTCCCTATCTGTGAAATGGGATTGATAATAGTCTATATGCTTTTTCTGGGTATTGTAAGGAATAAATGTCTATAGAAATATTAAACATTTATATTTTCCACTTGGAATATACTATATACTCAACCTTCCCCAGAGGTTTTCGTTATCGTCTGATTTTAAGGAGGAAACTGTTATTCTGGAGTTTTTTATTATTTCATTTCTTTACTTTCCTCATTCCAAGGAGGGGATGATTTACAAATTAGATAAGGAAACATGGGGTCGGGGGGCACTGTAGAACAGAGGCAAGAAAGTTGGCTGTGAGTTCCCTGGTAGGGAGAGCAAAGAAAGCAGGCTTTTTGCAAGACTCGGTCTGCCTTGGGTAAGGGGTGCACCTGGCTTTGGGGCAAGCCTGGCGTTTTCTGGTTCTGAGGCCTGAGATAGTTCATCCCATGTGTCCTCCCGGGCTTGCACAACCTGGACGGTATGGGCTCTAAGTACACAAGAGCAGTAAGTAACACGTCCCTTCTGTCCCTGTCCTAGGCAGATGCACTGTGGGAGGGTGGAATCCTGCCCTGGCCCAGTCCCCTCCCAGGATGAGGGGGTCAACATCCACTTCTCAGCCCCTGTGTGCGTGGTGTTGGTGTCAGGCAGGCGGGCGGTGAAAGAGGATGTGGCCTTGGCTCTGCAGCTCTGGGGTGTGTTGGGCCCTGGGGCAGTGTGGAGCTGAGCTGCTGCCAGTGCATTCATTCCCAGGGAGGTATCCAGGAGGACTAGGAGCTAAAATAGGGCAAAAATCAAGGGCAGAGGTGGGGGTACTTACTCCTGGTGCTACCTGAGTTGGCCTCAGCATCCTGCAGGGATGGACTTGTCTTCCCGGGACACTGAGACCCACTCCTGGCCGAGCTCTTGGTCCACAGGAAGAGCAGGACGGCTGCAAGGAGAGATGCTGCCTTAGGAGAGCTAGCCGGGCCAGCTCCACACACCTCCCTCGTATGTCCTCTTTCCTCCTGCAACAGTGACGTCAACCAGCATCTACCAAGACCCGGTATCAACCTCCCACCCCCGCTGCGGTCCCCCTCGTGAAGGGCTGGTTTGACTCTCAGAGACATCAAAGGACGTCCCGCTGCCTTCTGCATGATCTTATAGGAAAGCCGCCACCTGCCCCATGTCCCATCGCCACAAGCTGTGGGCTCCGATTGGGCAGGTCTGGCAGGAACCTCCCAGGGGATGGCAGGCTCTGCCCAGGATTTTCCTGTGTGGAGAGACAAGGGGACTTTGGAAGTCCTTATGAGGTGAATGCTGCTGCCAAGTGCCATCCCACAGAAAAGCAGACTTGTAGAAACACTGTGGTGTGTCCGTATTCACCAGATCTGTCACGGTGCAACCTGTGTCTCTTCTCCGAAGTCCATATGACCATGAAGGGTAAACGTTTGAATCAATTCAGGACATTGAGGCAGCCACAGCAGCACCACTGAGGACCCTGAAGAGGACTTCCAGGACTGCTTCAGAAAGGGGCAAGAATGATGGATGTGTTCAAAGTGAGGGGGAGGCTCTTAGAGACGAATGGCAATGCGTCTTTTACTGTAACTCTCACTTTCTCCCAGCAGCCCACAGAGCACCGTGATTCACCCAAGGGCACACAGCTGGCTGGGGTGGTACTGGATGGTTGGCTGCTCTTACCATGACCTGTGTGAACTTTACTCTTCTTTCTTTTATCCAGGGCCCCACTGGAAGACCTGGGCTCCCTGTAAGTAACTGTTTTATTTCTTCTTCCCTCTGTTTCTCTTTTACCTGTCCTTTTTATTTGGCAGTGGGGGTGCTAGGGATGGAACTCAGGGCCTCATGCGACTGATCTACCACTGAGCTATGCCCCAGCCGCTCATGTGCCTTCTCAGTCTGGGTTGAGTGGCTTTTTCTGCCCTAGGTGTCTCTGGGTAAGGGGCTTCTCTCTGCATCTCTGGTTTGTAGCTGACGGTGACACCCCCTTAGCTCCCTCCCTACCTCTGGATGCCCCTCCTGGTTGCCACGCAGCAGACGCTTCCAACACTAGACCGGACATCAAGATCCATGGCCCTATAACGGAGGAGCTGGGTGTAGGAGTCTCACAAAGCAGTGGCTCACTGAGATCCTTCCCTCTGCTAGCTTACACGCTAACCCCTGCCCTGCTTTCTCCTGAGCCCTCCAGTTAAAAAAAAAAAAAAAAAAAAGTGGACTCAAAAACTTTGGTTTTCCCTAATTACCATTTCTGAATTCTAGAGAAGTTGTGTAAAGTAGAAATAATACCAATACCAACAGCCATCTCTTACTAAGACTTTAATAGGTGCCAGGCATAATTTGGTCAACAACTCAGTGAAATGGGTACTATTATACCCATTCTTGAGATGAGGAAACTGAGACTTGGAGAGGTAAAAACTGTTCTACAACTCCCCACGCTTCCCTGTGGGAAGCCCATTCCACACTGCTCCTTCCTGAGGCCCACGCTTGGCACTTCAAAACCATCTTTTTTTTTTTTTGGTACTGGGGATCAAATTTGGGACTTTGTGCTTGCGAGGCAGGTGGTGGCACCACTGAGCTAAATGGCCGGCCCACTTGAGACCCATCTTTTAAGTCTTGTAGGGCATTGTGGAGTCCAGGCAAGATAAATGAGAGGGGCCCTGGATATAAACTCCGGGGGCCCTGAGATGAGGGGTGACTCAGGCAAAATGCTGTAGCTAGTCAGAGCACCTAGGTGGGGCATGGAAGGGATCAGGGTGACACCTGGATGCCCTGTGTGCCTTTGCTCAAGGCCACAGCAATTTTGGATTCCAGAACCTTCTGCACATCCTTCTTCTTCACTTCCTCCTTTTAGACATGAATTACACTATTGCCTTTAGGGCTTATCCAAGAGCTTCTAGAGCTCATGCTCAGTAGCAGCTTTCTTAATGAAATGCATGTGGGAGAATGCTCAGCCTGGACAATGCAAACCCTCCCAGTAAGTGTGAGCCTACCTCAATCCCACGAAACCTAAGGAGGGGAGAAGTCAGATGACTGCAGGCAACGTGGGCAGACTTTTGTTTTTTTCTTATAGCATCCACCTTTAAAAAGCATTTAGCGGGCAATTCATAGAGCAGAGGTTGCTGCAGTTTCCAGGCATTGGCCATTCCATGCCTGTCCCTAACCCAAGCACTTTATGGCCAGGACTGCAAAGAACATTAGTCTTTAAAAAAAAGAAATGAAAAAGAATCCAAAACACACATCCTGAAATATCATTCAAAAGCTGGAGAGCAAGTGGATCATGGAGATGTCACAGCCGACAACCAGCATTGGCCTGGTGTTCTGGCAGGAAGAGCAGATTTTAGATCCACAGGTCATGGTCCTGCGGATGCTTCCTCCTAACGGGATCTGGGAGTGGGCTGCAGGAATATTTGCAGGCACTGGCCCTTTGTTGTAAGACAAAAGAGACGTGAAGTACAAACATGCTTAGATGTGTACTTGACTGCAACCATGGCCATGCTGAGTATAACACTAAAAGATGCGGTTTACTCACATCTCTCAAGTGCCACGCCCTGGGCTGAAAAGGACTTCCTTATCACCCCTGGCCAAGGAAGCTGATCTGATGCACAGGGATGTTAAGGGAACAGTAGGTACTTACAGCCTGCACTATGGTGGAATGCTTTACTCAAAAGCACCACTGGCCTCGATGATGTGTGTGCTTCACAGGAGCCTAATTTCATAGCTGACCACTGTCCTGTGACGTGTCCCACATACTTCTTGGGATGCCACTTGTCCCACGAGGCCTTCTGCCTCAGTGAGGTCAGCAGATATAGTCACCCCAGAAATGCCTACACATTTCAGAAGAATTCCAAAATGCAAGCCTCTCCTGCCCAGCTGGCCAGACAAAAACATGATCTTACTTCCCGCACCCTAGGGCTTTCGGTCCTTCCATGCTCCACCCCAAATTTTACGATGTCTGCATGCATATGATTACAAAAAAATATTTTCTACCAAAAGGAGGAGCAACAAAACTTAATAAGCAGATTTCCAGAGTGAGAAGATGTAACCCCTGGCGACAAAACAAAGCAGCTCTCTCAGCATCTGAAACTCATGATGCGGCTCAATCCACATGGCCCGAGGTCCTTCCTATCCGTACTGGAGGTGACTGAGAGGTGGGAGAGCAGGAGAAGGACTTGCCACAGCCTCTGCAGACAGAGGGGCCCAGAGGAGCAGGGGAGCGTGGGCACTGCTCCCCAGCTCTGGTAGACAGATCTAGGGAAGTGATTCAGCCACCGGTCACCTTGATCTGGGCCTTGGACTTGAGGGTGATGAAAACGAGGTGCATTCTGGTCATGGCTAGAGCATTGCAGCAGCCGAGGCCTGAGAGAGGAAGGGCTTGGAAACATAAGGAAACCAAGGATGAGGCTGGAGACTAGACTGTGACTGTAGTGTTCATTCTACGACGCAGGCCTGAGTGCAGGCAGCCACTTACTGAACACTGTGGGGGCCGCCTGGGGGTTCGTCCACAGCAGCTCCTGCATCGTGCAGGATGTTTCCCCAGCTGCCCCCACAGAGTGAGGAGCCGAGTCCCCACCCGGGTGCACAGCTCACCCGTGGAGCATACGAGCTGGTTCCAGCCACATCTGATTGTTTCTGCCTCCTTCATCAGGGAGACAAAGGTGCCATTGGGATGCCTGGACGTGTGGTGAGTTGGCCTTTGTACCTGCTCGGGTGGCCATTGCTTGCTTCTCCATGCTGGCTTGTCCTCCAGACCTTGGAAAAATGCCGCCCACCCCAGCCGCAAGGAAGGAATAGCTTCAGGGAGGGACAGGGCAAGAGGAGGGAAGAAATTTTACTCCTGTCTTCATATTTCACGATAAGGCTTCGTAGTAGTTCCTTCACCCTTACCCACAGTTTCACTGTGTTTAACTGTGGTCCAGAAATATTACTGTAAATCAGATATGCTGAAAAAGAGGCCACATTCTCAAAATTTCTTTAAAATATATCCTTAGAATTATTCTGTTGTATTACTACAGTTGGTAATCTCTTACTGGGCCTAACTTACACTTTATCATAGGTATGCGTGTACAGAAGAAAACAGTAAATATAGGGTTGAGTACAATCAATCTGCGGTTTCCCGCATCCCCTAGGGGTCTTGGAATAAGTTCCCTGCGAACGAATGAAGAGTGCTGTGCTCTGCAGAGAGCGGTCATGGACAGCGCAAGGGAATTGCACAAACAAAGCTCTTCACCTCCTGGGTGATGATGGGGTGAAGTCTTAGCCTCCTCGTCCAGAGGACTTCATCCACCACCCCAAAGCAGGCAGCTTGCCGCCCCTCCTTTAACCATCCCCCAGTGGAGCCAGCATTTCCAGAGCGTCTTCTGGAGTAGGAGAGTCGCTCAGAGATGGTAAAGAGCTTGGCTTCAGACGGTGCCTCCAGAGGCCCAGAGTGAAAACATTTAATGATTCCTGATGAAAAGTGAAGATGGGGAACAGAAGATGAGGATGGCTGTTAGGGAGCGCTCGTCCCAGAAATGGAAAGGCTGGCACAGGCCCTGGTCCTGGCACCAGGGTTTTTCCTAGCAGTCTCAGAATGATGGTCTCCAGATGACATGAAGGGTGATGGCCTGGTGTGATAACAGCCAGGCACCATTTCACACCAGGCTGCCTGGTCGAGGACATGGCTAGGGCTGCCTCCCCCTCTGATTCGTAACCCCCCACCAGCATCAGCCTCAGCCTCCAGGCCCCGCCACCCCTCCCCCGTGTCATTCCTGGCTGGATTGGCCTTGGCATGGCTGTGGCATCTGTGTGACTTCGCACGCCTGGGCTGAGCATGGAGGCCAGGCATCCAAACCGTAACTAACCTTTCCAAGTGCTAATGCTGTTAGCGTTATGCTAAGGGCCTCATGCAAAGCACCTTGTTGAACTGCATGGGGGAAACATAATTTACACCCCCATTTTTCAAATGAAGGAACAGAGGCTCAGTAGTTAAAAGTCTTACTCAAGGTCACATGGCCCGGAGGTGGCTGAGCAGGGACTTTAGCCTAAACAGCCAAGCTCCATGTGGGTGCTCTTGGCCCTGGCAATGCACCCACAGTATCACAGCTCTCAGGGGGTCTGATCCTCAGACTGAAACCCCCAAACTGGAACATTCCAGAGTTAGGGACAAGTACCCCTTGTCACAAAACTTTGAGTGCCCCAGGGCCCACCCTAGGCTTGTCTGTCAAAGCATGGGGGCCCGGGAGGAGACCCTGTTTTATGACTGTGGGTGCTGAATCTCAGTTTGCCCAAGATGTGAGTGGAGTTGGGTTTTGTACCCGAGCTGTCTGCCGTCCCTACTTTCAATAGAATAAGCTTCCTTGTAGAGCTCCCACATACACACACCCAGAGTAAGGGCGACCTTCAGGGAAGGATGCAAAATGCAAAGTGCCCCCCTCCTTCCTGCCTTCCTCCTTGGGCCCTGTGGACTTCTTCCTCCAGGAAGTGCCCACCCATTATCTTGTGACCCCCAGCAGAGGGGAGACCACAGGAAGTTTCTCCACTTTGCAGGTCAAGGCTTCTTTCAAGTTGCTTGGGGGCTTCAAGCTGCTGGTGCTACTTTAAAATGTGACAATAGCCCATTTGGCTGCCCACTAGGGGTCCTGGCAATGGGCTCTGATAAGGACTGGAAGCCTATGGGTGTGGAATTCATGGGTCATTTTCATGGTTCACCAAAGGTGGCACGACTGGCTTGGGAGGAGGGTGGAGGGGGCTGTCCATCATGCGCTGGTCCCTGTGGTTTCATCCTTACATGGGTTCCTCTGCATCCTGACCCACCCCCCACCCTTGCAGATGTGTGCGTCCTCTTCTGTTTGCCCATGTCCCTCTGTCCCTCCCTCCCTCTGACCTGGCCACCTCCAACAGCTCCAGGCTTGCTGAGCTTGCCAAAGCTTTGTACTTGTACCCAACCTAGCCTTCAAGGCTCCTGGGCTCCACTGTCACAGCGCAGTCCTTGGGGACCTCTCCCCCCCCCACCTTCCCCTGACTCTCCAGCTGGGCCATGGCTTCTCAGGCAGGGTTTCTAGCCTTGTTTTCTTTCAGTGTCTTTCTCTGTGCTGGTGTCTGTCTGTCTCTCACACATGCATGAGCAAGCATGCAAACACACACACACACACACACACACACACACACACACACACACACACACACAGCCTCGCCTCCAAGCCTGTCCCTTCACACTGATCTGGAACAGCTGGCTGGGGCAGACCAGGGTGAGACAAGAGCTTCCACAAGTGGTACGGCTTGGACATGGGACCTGCCATGTGTCCGCACCTGTGTTTCATTGTGCTTCTTGTTTCGTGGTCGTTTCTTCTGTTTGGTTGCTGTGCCTGTGCCAACAACATGGATTCCTGTATCGGTGCCTCTCTCTCATCTCCCTCCTTTTCTCTCCCCACCTCCCTCTCTTCCCTGTGCCCTGTGGTACCTGTGGCTGCACCAGGGAGTGAAGGGTCCACCTGGCGAGAAGGTGAGTCCTCACATCCCTGCCCTTTTCATCCAGCCTCTCTTTGGCAGGTAGGCTGGGTTGGGGGACAAGTCCTTTGAGAGCACCCATCCCTGCCACCCAGGAGTGCTTGTGGCTGTTCTGCCCTCAAAGCCTCTGGTGGCCCAGACTAACAGCTTCCACACCATGGAGCAAGATGTTGGGATTCCCTGCTGTGGGCCCAGCTGTCCTGGCTAAGTGGGTCTCTCCTGCCCTGCATGGACCCCATGTTCCAATGACTGGCCTGAAGAGCCCAGGAAGCCACCCTGAATTTCAGAGCACAACACATCTAATCCACTCATTTGACAGAAGAAGAAACTGAGGCCCAGAGGACCAGGGCTTGCCCTGGGTCCCACAGTCATAGTGATGAGCAGGAGCTGACAGCAGATCTCTGTGCCCTGCTCAGTACTTCCTTGCCCACATGCGGCAATACGTCTGCAAAAGTGTCTCCTGTCTCCAAGATAACCACAGTGACATCAGTAATAACCACCTACCAAGCATGAATTGTGTCAGGCTCAGTTTTAAGTATTTTCATCTCAGTATTGTTACCTCAGTTGACACTGACACATCCCTTCCAGGGAAGCATTAATATTGCCATGTATGTGACACAGAGAAGGCTGTCATGTACCCAAGGTCACATAGCTAGAACGTGTCAAGCTAGAGCAGAGCCCGATCTGGTGACCCCAAAGCTGAGGCCCCTGACCATGATGCTGTGCTATCTTCCAAATGAAAGATTCTCGCAGGTCCCATCTGGTAGGGGATGACACAGCCCAGGAGAAAGATACATGGCCTTTCCATGGTGGATGACAGGCAGTTTGGTTCTTCTGCAGGAGCCAGTGGCCTCTCTCACCCCCATCAGTCCATATACCGTTTCATCACACACACACACACACACACACACACACACACACACACGAGTTATCTCTCCAGCTAGCTCAGCCACTTGGAGCTCCTAGCCCAGCAGCACCAACCACCTCTCAGACTACCCTGTGGCCAGCCTTGTGACTCCTCCATAGTACGCACAAACCAGGACCAGGAAATTCACCACAGCTGGGCCTTTCAGCCTCAGGCCATAGGACACACGTGGCCTTTGCTGTTTTTGTCCCTACCCACTGTTTCCCTGTCCCCAAGCTCAGGGCAGATACCCTTCACCAGTTGCAGGGCGTGCAGCCAGATGGGCGTTTAAGGGTGGGAATGGGAAGAGGACCACTGCTAGCCCCCACCTTGTGCCCTCTCTTGCCCATCACTGGAGTGGCTCCTGCTCCTTTTCCTAGCCAGCTCCACCAGCTTTTTCCTGTTCACCCTGTGGCTCATGCTGTCACTCGCATCTGTTCTCTTTCTGTGCCTGCTGCTCCCTGCTGCCCTTCACAGCCCTTCCTGGACGTTCCACTCACCCTGTTGCCCCTATTCCCTCACTGTCCTCCGTATCTCTAGCCTCCCTCTAGCCCACGGGGTGGGCGCCCCATCCCTGTCCCCCACCTGTCAGCACCTGCCTGTTGTCTCCTGTCCCCATGCCCTCTCCTCCCTCCTCTCTCCCCACAGGGCACCCCTGGAGATGCCGGGATGTCCATCGTTGGTCCCCGAGGACCCCCTGTAAGTTGTTGCTCTTTTTCAGGGATGGGGGAGTTCATGAAGAAGGCTTTGGGGGACCAGAGGAGGGCGAGTCCTAGCTGTGGCTCTAGGTGTGGCAGCCACGTGTGGTGTAGCCAGCCGTAAAGACAGTGATCCAAAAACCACAGAACAAGGGAGGCTCCAGCCAGCCTGCAGCCATGGCACTCCAGCAGCTGGGAGGACCCTCTGTGAATAGCTGGGAGTTTGTGCTTGCTCCCTGGGTGGGTGCTCAGTCCTCTGGGATACAAGGTTTGCTCCTGGAAACTGGAAAGCAGATGCCAAGGATCCAGGTTTTTAGCTAGCCGTCCGTCCACTGCTGGGCTTGGCGAAGAGGACACAAGTCACCCTCAAGGCTCCTTTCTGTGTCCTCTGTATTCACTGGCTCCCTTCCCAGCTTGGAAAAGCCAGGAGGCTTTCCCTCTGATGTGCCACCCTGGGGACCAGAGGGGATGTGGGTGACAGAGCCAGCAAGATAACACAGCTCTGGGGAGGAAGGCAGAGGGTTTTCCACAGGGTGCCCACCCACAGGGCTTCAGTAAAATCACATGTTGGAGAGGAAGGAGACCCCAGCCACAGTCTAGCACATTCCTCTCAGAAAAGGAAACTGCAGCCCAGATAGGGAAAGGGGCTTGGAACCCCAGGAGGTAGGGACTATATTCAACTGCACTTTACAGAGGAGAAGGCTGAGGAACAGAGAGGTCTAGTGACTTGCCCAAAGTCACAGCAGGACCTTGCCCCCACTAGGAGTGATCACTCAGCCCAGGTTGAGTGGCTCTGAACCCTCTGCCATGACGGCCCGGCCAAGCTGCAGTGTGACTGGCACACTTGCTCTTCTGTGCCCATGGCTGTTTCCCTGATGGGCTTTGCCTCCTTGGATACTGGGAGATGCCTGAGCCCAGATGTTACTGAAGAAAGGGCTGATAGGAAGGTCACAGAGAAGAAGAGAGTCTCCAGGTTCCGACATGGAGGATGGAGCCTTGGGTGGGCCTGTCAAGGGGAAAAGGAACACGGAACACAAGCCACCCTTCAGCCACCATGGCCACCTGCTGCCCGGTCTGACCACTGACATCCTTCTGTGTGGCTCATATTGGTCTTCTACACCCTACCAGCAAGTACTGTCTGTGACCTAAAAATCATTGCAAGGCCTCCCTGTTTGTACAGAATCTTTCCCTTCAGAAGGCAGTTGTCCCTGTGGGTGCCTATATTGGTGCTAGAAAAGCTTTCATGGCCCCAGGAGTCCTGACCAAGCCCAAGGTCCTTTGATGTTGGCTTGTGTGAGTGACCTCACCCAGATGACTTGGTCACCCCAGCCAAGTCCTCACCAGACAGCCCTGGCCACGCCCTCAGCTCCTGCTGCTGCTCTGGGCTGTGAGAACAAGGGACAGGGAAGACAGAGTCTGCTTGTCATTAGGAGGAGAGGTCAAGTGGGCAAGCCCTAGGGGGGCCAGGGCTGGTGGGGACATGTGGCTTTCCACTTGGCCAAGAAGAGCCCTGAATAAGTGCTACTAATCAAAACCAGCCTTGCCATCCTCCAGGGCCACCTGCCTATTCTTGTGGAGCTTGATAAATGGTCCAAACAAAGGGGACCAGTCAGGCACCTCAAAGAAAGACAGTTCACATTCCAGGGTGGGTTTGTTGACTTTTGAGGGAATTCCAGCAAACAGAAGGGGAGGCTGTACCCCAAAATCCTTTCTGGCCCAGCATGGATGGGGTGCCTATTCAAAGGAGATTGCTTCCTCCCTGAGGTCCCAGCTGCTCCTCAGGCCTAGAGGAGAAATCCAACTTCCAGCTGTCACCCACAAGGAGCCACCCTATGCCAAGTAGCTACACCTGCTGTACTCCTAATAGGAACCTAGCGTGTTAGGTGCTAAGCAGACAATGGGAGCCTGACCCAAGGCCCAAGATCACATCAGGGATCACAGTACATGCCAAGCTGGGATGGTCAGGGAGCTGGGGCAGGTGAAGGCTTTGGACTCGGGCTGAGGCCAGGCAGAAACAGTTTGAGAGGAAGAAACAGCTAAACTATGCTTATGGACTTGCAGTAGTGGCCCAGCTAACAAAGCCTAGAGAGGCGTGCAGAGCCCCTGAACCCAGAAAGGGCCCCTGGAAACTGGCGATGAATGGAGAAGCCTTTCCTCTCCAAGGGGGCCTGGACAGGATGGCGAGAGGTGGAGCTGGAGAGGTGAGCATGGGCCAGATCACAAAGGACCCAACACTGTGCTCAGAAGCCGGAATCCCAAGGTACTGGGGAGTCCTCGGGTTGTGTTAGTTGATGAGGATCAGGATCTACAGGTGGCCGGCTCCTCCTTGGAGCTGGAGTGTGTCTAGAGGAACTGTGGATGAGGACCCATGGGAAGGCAACCAGGATCACCAAGGCCTGGGAGAAAGGGTGAACTAGAGAGACAGCCAGAGACAGGTGGAGTCAGTGGGCTTATTGGTGATGAAAGCAAGGCCTGAAGGAGAAGCAGGAGCTCAGGATTGACTCCCGGGCATGGTGGTGCCAGTCCCTAGAAGTGGAGCTTGCTGGGGAGAGGGTTTCCTTACAGCAAATGGATATGAGGTGCCTCGGGATGTGTAAGGGGAGCTTTGTATTTGCTGCCAGGGGCTCAGAGCGCGTGTGGTGCTGGCTCACAGCAGTGTTCTGTGTGAACTTCCTCTCCACTGCGAAAGGCAGCCTCACAGAGCGTAGCCTAAAATGGGCCACAAGGGCAAATGGAGCTCTGCTGTCCCACCCCGCCCCACCCAGCCTGGACTGCACATTTCCCAGCATTCACAAGTTGTGCTGTTCAGTGTGGACAATGAGGCAGGTCCCAGGCACAGGCATAACTGGGCCTCGTTGGGAGCATCAAAGAGGAGAGTAAGGAGTCCTCCAGTAGGCCCTTTCCAGCCAGAACTATGTTCCTTTATCCCACACAAGATGCAGACAGGAGAAGCAGGGGTGCAGTAACACAGGCTTCCACTTTCAGAAATGTGGCCCTCTTGGTCTGCCTTCCCATCCTGGCCTTGATGAAGGAAGAAAGTTTCAACTAACAGTGTAAAGCTTATTCCCTTGTTTTTGTGAGAAGGGCATAATGCTGATCTATAAATCAATCTGTTATCCATAACTGTAGTGTGCTCCTAATTCCAGTGAATTTTTTTATGGGACTGGGAGTCCAGTAAAATATTGAATTTTATTCAGAAAAAAATAAGCCTGTGAAAATGTCAGGAAAACTGTGAAAATAGAAAGGGATGAGGAAAGAGGGGGCTAGTATTACAAAATATATTATAAGTGCCCAGCAATCAAAACAAGCAAATGGATAGAACAGCAGGGTGAGGCCAGAAATAAAGCCAAATGCTTGTGGGAATTGGATACTCAGTGACAACTTCATTCCAGAGTAGGAAGAGAAAGAGCGTTCAGATGTTGGAGCGATTGACAGGCCATTTAGAAAAAGGTAAACTGAAGGAACGCTGTTTGTTTCTTTTTTAAAAATAGCTAGATCTCTACCCCATTTGTTATATTAAGACAAATTCCTAATGAATAAAGCACTTGGATATAAAATATGATACCATAAAATATAAACAGGAAATACGAGCAAATGTTTTATAATTCTGAGTCGGGAAAGGGCCTTCTGAAACATGACATAAAAATTCCCCCAAAGCCATAGGAAAACATTAATAAGTTTGTCTACATAAATGTAAGACTTCCGTGTGATGGAAAATATAATATAACCACAGTCAAAGGCAATAGCCAAGTCAGAAAATATTCCCGACACATATGACAACCAAAGAGCTGTTGTTCTTGAAAAAGAACTTTACTTGAATCAGTAGGAAAAAGATAAACAACAGAGTAGAAACTGTTCATAAGAGCCAGGTGTGGTAGAATGTACCTGTAGTCCCAGTGCTTAGGAGGCGAGATGGGAAGTTTGCTTGGGCCCAGAAGTTCAAGGTCAGCCTAAGCAAAATAATGAGACCCCTCCTCAGATTGCATAGACGATAGATCGATCGATAGATAGATGATAGATAGATAGAGCCCAGGCAAGCCTAGGGCTAGCCAATAAATATTGGAAGACATCTCAACTCAGCATATAACTGAGGAGATATGAATTAAAATCCAGTTCCAAATCTCCCCAAGTGCTTTCCCCATGTTCTACCTCTCCAGGAAGTAGAGTCTCAGTTTCCATTTGGTCAATGACAACATTCTTCCCGAGATCCCTGAAAAAGCCCTGGTTAGCCCCAGACTTGGCCCTGGGTGGGAGAGTTGCATCCCGCTACCACAGCAGGCTATGTAATTAGCAAACCGTGTGATTACCCCTACCACGTAAACACTAGCCAGAGCAGGCCTTGAAGATGTTTCTTGGAATCCTCTCCTTCTGACCTTCCCTTCAGGCCTCTGCCTGTTCAGAGTAGTTTACACAAAGCTTGTCCTAGTAGGTTTTGGAGATTGCATTGTGTGGTTTCCAGGGGTTTCACCGTAGAGCTATTCTTAGCATCACTTGTTCTTGAGAGGAGAGAAGCTGGGCCCTTCTGACATATGAGTGGTGTCTCCTCCCTCTTGCCTTTTGGACGCCTGCCCCAAGCCCATCCTGAGCCTGTGGCAGCCTTCAGCCAGCTCCCTACTGGACCAGCACTCTCACCCTGACGTGGCAGCTTCCCCATCCCACCCAGGCCAAGGAGCCTAAGTTCCCTGAAAAGAGGTCTTGGGGTGCTCGTGTCCACAGCTTTGAGGAGGAGCCAGGCAGCCTGGAGATGTTTCAGAGTCACAGCAGAGGGATCCTCATGCAATCTAGTTCTGGAACTATTGCTTGGCTTGGATAAGCCTCCAAGACACATTGAGCCCAAAACCAACCTCACTTTATTCTGACGCCTCTGTTCAGCTCAGTTCAATAACAGCCCACGATGGTAGCCGCCATTTCAACAGACCTGACAAACCTTGAGCTTATGAGGTTATTATCCCCATTTTACAGATGAGGAAACTGAGGCTCAGGGAGGTCAGATAACTTGCTCAAAGTCACACTGCTGTTCTTGTCAGAGGTAGGATTAGAACTCAGTCTGCCAGATGAAAAAACCCATCCCTAGGAAAGGACTGTGGCTATCTCAGTGACCCCAAACATAGCTGGCCATGTGTGTGCGGGGAAAGGCAGGTGAATATGTGCCTGGGCCTGGAGCAGGAGGGAGGAGGAGGCGGAGGCAGGAAGGGCAGCTAACATGATTCCCTGGGATGAGATGGGGACAACCGGCAGTAACAGGTGAGCAGAGAGGAACCTCGCTGGTTCTATAGGAAGGGTGAGGCAAGGCTCACGTTTCTTAGCTCCCCGTTACCTTGACCTTCTGGTCAGCCTCCCCAGTGTCAGGCTGCCTCTCTGGTGCTGAATCTTGTCTGTAAACCACTGGGCCCTGGCCAGTGAACCCGCTTCTAGTCTGTGTCTGCATTGCACTCTGCACCTCCAGGGGAATGGGTATAGGAAAAGCCTGGGGGACCCAGAAACCTCGCAGCTATAGGAGGAGACTGCCGGCCTGGAAGAGAGGGGAACATGAGCAACTTGACCTATTCGGACCTGAAACACGTGTTCTGAAGGTCAAGTTCTGCTCTCTGCTGATTTCCAAACTACCCTTAGAGATGTGGCTGTGAGCAATGCCTGGAAAGAAAGAGGAAGTGGTCCAGGGCTTCTGTGCACCATGGGCCAAGTCCCCACTGGCTGGCTGTCTCTTGGCCTGTTTCCATGCTGGAGCTCAAAACACCCACTGCAGTGAGGGGCCACTTCCTAGAAACTGGCCCAAAGATGCTGGCCTCCTGTCCCTCTCCCCGCTCCCAGTCCCCGAAGATTTCCTGTGATGTTCCCTTTCCGCCTTCTCCCTCCTCCCCACTGCCGGCTCATGTGCTAAGCGCACCCCATGGAGTCACAGGGGAGTGAGGGATGACCAGAGATGAGCTGGGAGAGGGCTAGCTCCACCCCTCCTAGGTCATCCTTATGTTCTCCCATTTTTTTTAGGGTCAGCCGGGCACTCGGGGCTTTCCTGGATTTCCGGTAAGTGGGGAGGGTTGAGGTTAGCCCAGGTGTTTAGATGATGTCCAGTGAGGGCAGCCGTGAGACCACTCTTTCCCTTCCCCTTCCGAACCCTGTCTTGTGTGTGTGTGTGTGTGTGTGTGTGTGTGTGTGTGGTACTTGGGATTGAAGCCAGGACCTTCACACTGAACTATATCCCTAGCCTTTTATACACTTTTTCCCTCTGCAATAGGGTCACTAAGTTGCTCAGGCTGAGCCCAAACTTGTGATCCTCCTGGCTCAGCCTCCTAGAGTGCAGGGAATTGCAGGCACGTGCCACATTCCTGGCTCCTACTGTGGTCATTAAGAATTCACTCTGCAGCCTTTCCCCAGGGGAGTAGCTCAGCTCCTGGCTCCAAGTGCTGGAAGAGACAGGAAAATACACACACAGAAAAGGGGGAGAAAGGAGGAGCCCAGCAGGATACTGGAACGTGCCTCAGGGAAGTGACAGGGCATCAACCTACAGCCAGGCTCTAAGAGAAGGTCCACAGGGGAAGGCAGTGGGGTGGCCATCTGAATATCCTTTCACCTCTGCCCTTGTGGGGGAGCAGCTGCTGAGCAAGCCCAGCCTCCTAGAATCACTCTCCAAGTGGGTCAAGAAGGGAGAAGGAGTAGGTCTTTGACACCGAGGACCGTGCCACCCAGTGGGTTCTGCCCTGCGCCAGGCAGCTGGCTTCTGGCATTCACTGCTTCTCACCAGGACCCATCAGAGAAAGCTCTACTATTCTTGACCCCATGGTGGGGTGGGAAATGAAGGCTTAGATTTACCTGTGGTCACACAGCAAGTAAGCAGCCAAGCAGAAACACAACCCCTGACTGTGTGGCGTCAGATCCCGTGTTTCTCACCCCAGCACCAGGCCCAGGCAGGAGGCCTGTGATGCTGGGTCTTTACATCTGGCCTTTTTGCTTGCAGGGTCCCATTGGGCTGGATGGCAAACCGGTGAGTGGACCCTCGGGCTCAGACTCCTCCCCACACTCCGCCTGGCTCCTAACCCTGGCCCCTTGGTCCAGCCATGAGAGCCGGGGCCCCGGAAGATGCTTTGATAGAAAGTTCCTGGCTAGAGAGGGGTCACAAGAGGGAGGAGGGGCTATTTGACTGAGTCGCTCCTGAGCCAGGGGCTTCCCAGGGAACTGCACAGTGGCCGAGCCAGGTGCTCAGCATCAGCACAAGAGCCGCTCCTAGATCTGCTGATTCTGGCAGCTCCTGGGGTAGGGGAAGGCTGGGAGGCACCAGGAGGGCACAGGAGGTAGAGCTCAGCAGGCTGATCCTACAGAAAGCCCAGCCACTTGTCACACGCTGTCCCCAGCCTGCACTCACCAACGTTCCCCTGTGTCTCCTGCCCTCATCTGGGTCGATGTCCCTTTGGGTGGCAGTTGAAGGGCCACCCTTTCCCCTGTTCTTTCCATGACTGTGAGCCCGTGCTGGGTAAGGTCTCCCTACACCAAGCCCATGTGGAGACCACTTCTCCCATACTGGCTTCTCCCAAGTGCATTTCCAACCTTCAGCATTGGGCCCTGATACCAATGTTCCTGGGGAAAGCAGCCCCCTTCCTGGAAGGGTGAGGTACAAGACAATTGACCCTCAACACCCTCCAGGACCCACAGGCACAGGCATGGGGAGGAGGCAATGCATTGTGAACCCAACCACTGAGCTCTCCCTGGGGCTACCAGTGTCCTCTCAGGTGGGGGACCTGGCCATCTGCCCTACAGGGCCCCACTGCGGGCATGTCCCCTGCCATCCTGGCTACTACCCCCCACATCTCTCTCTGAAGGGCAGGCAGCAGTCATAGGTCCTGGGGAAGACAGGGGGCAAGTGGCCTTGCCTCAGGTGGCTGTGGGTTAAGAACTTGGGGGATAAGCAAGAGATGGGTGACGGGTCAAGAAAGGAAAGCGTTGTGATTGGAGAAGCAGGTGGCAGGTAAGGTGAGGCTTCTGTGTTGCTTACCATGCACCTGACAGTCATCTTCTCCTTCCAGGGCCATCCCGGACCAAAAGGGGAGATGGTAAGACTTCGGCTTTGCTGCTTCCCAAGATGGGTGGGGGATAGAGCCAGTGGTTGCCATCCTGGTCACTCCCCCAGCTGTGCATGCCCGCGACCCTGGGTCCTTGCATCTTGCAGCGGGGAGAGGAAGCTGAGGCTCCCCCACCTGAACCACAGGGAGGAGGGCCAGAGAGAGCACCTGCCGGGCAGTTGCCACAGCCCGTGGGTGGCAGCTCAGTGCCCCCCAACGATACTCTGTGCCTTGGTGAACCCATCAACATCAGCAGACTTGAGGAACACACTGGCTGGCTGTGTGAGCTGAGCTCGATCACCTTTTCCCAGTGCCAGCTGTACCCTGAGCCACCCAGGCCACCTGGGCTGGGACACATGCCTGCCTCCTGCAACACAAGCTGGTACAGGGCTGGCATCTGTGTCAAAGGTAGTGAGAGCAATATGACTGGCTGCACTCTGCCTGGCCAGCAGGGGTCTGGCTTGTGCCCTGCCCCACCTGCCAGTGTGAGGGCTCCTTGCACACTGCCAGGGAACCAGAGGAGGCAGGCACTCCTGTGAATGGAAAAGGAGAGGAAGGGTTGTCCTAAATGCTGGGGCTTCAGCTCCCACCAACCTGCCCAGGACCCTTAGCAGCCCAGCCCCCTCAGTACCTCTATATAGACAGTGCACACAGACCCAGCATCTGTAGCACCAGGGGCTCTGGCCTAAGCACTTCATGTGCATAGTTCTGTGTTGCTTAATGACAGAGATGCATGCTGAGAAATGCAACCTGAGTGATTTTGTCACCGTGTGGACATCACAGGGCATACTTATGTCACTGGGCCATATAATTGATGGGACCACAGTCATATATGTGGCCCATCTGTGACCAAGTCATCACCAGCTTGCCCCGTGACTATTCCGTCTCATTCAGTCCTCAGTGGGATCCTGCACTTCACATCCTATTAGGACCCCCCCTCACAGAGTTAAGTAACTTGCCTGAAGTCACACAGGTGGGAAGTACCCCAAACAGGGTCCAAACCCAGTTCTTAATTCCTTGCCCTTGTTGCCTTCTTCCTCCCTTTTTGTTTCCCTCCCTCCCTGTGTGCCTGCCTCCTCCCTTCCTGTACCATATTTTTATTGAATATCTAACGTGTTCTGGGCACTGCATCAGGTCCCAGAGATGTGAACAAGAACAGAGAGACACCCTCCTTGCCATCCTGGAGTTTGCAGTCTAGCGGGGGATTCAAACATTTAAATAACTCATCACACAATGAACCAACCACCCTGCAATGGGTGCCATTAAAAGGCAGTGCCCAGGATCCTGGGACACCTCAGGATTTGAAGCTAATTGAAATAGATCCATGTGGGACAAACAAAATACCCACAAAGATCAGGACTGTCCCGTGGGCTATGATTTGGGGTGTGCGGACTTAACTCTCCATATCTCTACAGTGCTGAACCCTAGTGGGATGTTTCTCAGTCCCCTAACCACCGCCCCCATCACTCTCCTCTCCTGTCCTGACTGAGGGTGACCTGGTCACCTGGGGTCTGGCCTCTGGCTCCTGCTGGATGGATCCTGTGCCACTGAATTTGACACCAAGGACCAGGCCACCCCGGTGGCCTGGGAATGCCGCACAGATATGCCTTCAAGGCCCCTTCTCTGGGTCACTGGGTCCCTGGGAGTTTCTGAAGCAGCAAGGCAGCAAGGCAGGGTCAGGAGAGGCTGTCCCCATCTCAGCAGCCTGAGGCCAACCACCCAATGGCCCCCAACTCAGAGCCCAGAAATTGGTGTGTCAAGGGAGTCCTCATGGGCAAAGAGGGACCTCAGGGGCCATCCTTATGGTTTCCTTCTTATGAACTCTAGAACCCCTGCCTGCCTCCCAAGAGCCAGCAGGCTGCCAGGTCCTCTTCAGAGAACAAGCATTTACCCTGACCCTGAGTGTTCCTCCAAGGAACTCAGAGCATGGCTCAGGACACAGACCTCCAGCTTCCTCTCCGCACCATGGGCTTCTCCAAAACTCCCCAAGTCCACTGCAATGGACTGTCTCCTCCCACTGTGTCCCCTGAAGCCTCTGGCTCTGTGGCTTTCCCTGCGGCAGAAGCAGGATGTGCCAGTGTCTCCTGGAGCTTGGGGTGAGGAGGTAGAGTATTCCCGGCCACCTGACTGCTAGTGCAGCTTCCTGCCTGGTGAGCAGGGTATGACAGCGGCTGGAGGAATGAAGGATGGCATCTGAGGGGGCAGGGCACACCTGGCCGTGCCTGTTGGTGGCAAAGGGGCAGCGGCTGGTGTATGGCCACACCATTTTGCACATGCCAGACACAGAAGGCCCTGGCAGACAGATCCCAGCCTGTAGGACTCGGGACATTCTGAGAAGCCTTGGAAGCCCAGCATCTGTCCAAGCCCCCCTCTGGCACCTGATCTGCCATCTTCTGTCTGCTCACTGACTTATGTGTGTTTCCTCCCCCAGGGCCTGATGGGTCCCCGAGGACAGCCGGTTGGTACCTCTTCTTTATTATTCTCTAGCAGAGAGGTTTGTGGCCACTGCGCTGTGGGCTGCAATCCCTAACTCTCATTTCTGTCTCTTTGTAGGGATCTCAAGGACAAAAAGGAGAAAAGGTAGGTGTAATAGGGGACTTCCTAAAATCTCCAACTTGGATACAAACTCCCAACAGGCAGAACTGGGGTAGAGTGGTTGTTCTGAAGTTTGAGGTTTACTGAGAGAGAACCAGAAAAGGTTCCAAGGGCTCCCCGGAATGTAAGACAGACAACGTGGAGCTGCCCCAGGTGACATCTTTTCTTAGGGGACGGTCTTCCCAGAGCATGGGCCTTTCCACCTTCCTCCTCGGCACCTCCTGCCTGCCACCTCTCCAGGGTTGCTGGCCCAGGAGCCTTTAGGATTTTGAGGTGTCATTGTATAAACCCCAGGCCTACCCCCTTTCGGGCCTCTTACTTTCTCTGTTAAATTTCTCTCTGGGACTCTCCCAGGACTCCTGTCCAGGGCCAACAGGTGTCCCTATCCAGACCTGGGTTAGAATTCCTTCCTGACCCTCCCTCGCTCCATGGGGCCACTACCAGGCCCACCCCAGCCTACTCTCCAGGGGCCCAGAAGGGACCTCATTCTCCCACCTCATCTCCTGCCCTCAAGTCGGAGGTCTCAGACCCACCAGGGCAGCAGACAGGCTGTATCTGATGAGTCTCAGGAGTGCTCCTGAGAGACAGATCCCCCAGCAAGCATCTGACACCCACTTTCCTTTCTTCCCCTCCCCAGGGCCAGTGTGGCGAGTACCCACACCGGGTAAGTGAGCTCCCGGCCAAACTCCCAGGCACAGCCCTGCTCAACCTCATCCCCGGGTCTCTGCAGGACAGGTGGCAGGGTGCCTGGTGGGTACAATGAGCGTGTGTGTGTGTGTGTGTGTGTGTGTGTGTGTGTGTGTGTGTGGTGTGGGGAGCCAGCTC